AAATATGCCCCCAGGATTTCCGATGGGCCTGATCTTCATATTCCAAGCAACTACCAAGAACTACTAAAACAGTGCCAATTGTGTTCACTTTGTAACTGTCACGTAATCTTACCTGCTGAGGACTGCAGAGAGACAAATTTCTCTAGCCGTCTTGGGGACCGCTACTCGAATGAAGAGATACCGTCAACTGGGCATTTCCCATTTCACCACATCGTTCAGGACGTACATCTGATAAACAAGGAAAAATCATTGAAACATTGCCCAACTGTCCTGTGTTCTCAGTACTGATAAGTTTGGAACCAAAAAAATATATATATATCAAACTTGCACTACAAAATGGAACTAAATGCATTCATTTCAAGACAACTCACCCGATGTAAGAATTTATAAATCCATGTCAACTTCAGAACAAGACAAGAGATTCAACAGAAACATCTCACACGCACATTCCGCGGGGCGACTTTTCAAACGAAAGGACAACAAAAAAATTCCCACCAAAATGAACACGTGACTGAAGATCAAACGACCAAAGTGCGCCCAATGAAAATTGATTCTTTTGCCTGACCATAGTGTCAATCGATATATTCTATTTATAGATATCAAAGTGATTTGACCGTTCTGTGAGTAATGCTCTCTTGCATTCAAAAGAGAATCAACCTTACTTTTTCTTTATATAGTTTGAATCACATTTTATTTTTAGCACATATGATACGACATTTTCTGAAGTATGAGTTTTATTTATTCAATTTACATTGACATTATGAGAAACTCAGAAACGTAGCAACAGGGGGAGGGCCCCCCAATTTTTTCCTAACATAACTTTTGCCGAAAATGTTCATTGAATTACAGGTTGCCCCCCTCAGTTAATACTACGGTAAAGTAATATAAGGGAAATGTTGTATTGTATGCAAAAAAAAATAAATAAATAAATAAAAGAAGTCGGCATCAGAAAAAAGTTGGCCTAGACTAACCCCCCCCCCCACACACACACACAAAATAGGATTTTCGAGTTTGGGCTACGTTTTTTTTTGCTTGTCAAGTTTTCCAGGTAAGTAAAAAAAATTGTCTGGCTAGTCCCCCACTTTCAAAAACGATGCTACGTGCCTGAAACTTTTTTAATCATAGGCGTTGGAGCCGGAGAGGGGAGGATGCTACTCTGGCTTAGCCCCAACACACACACACTTTTTTTGCAAATATATACATAATATAGGCATTGAAAATTGGGGTTTACAATTTTTGTTGGTTTAGTCCGCCCCCTTTCAATTACCCCCCCCCCTCCACTTCAATATGTCTGCACTATCTCTTGCGCAATATTGAACTGCTTGACTTGTTACTTCATAAAAAAAAAGAAAGAAAGAAAAATCCCGAATGATATCATCAATGTTTCATCTATATGATAGATTACGATATTTCAGATTAATATATTTTAGATTTTTTCACTCTTTATTTTTTAATTGCTTTTGGCTAGGGCGTTATCAAATGTGAAATATCAAGAAAGATATATGGTTTGTTTTAATATGATAATATTGTTGGGGTTTTTTGGTCAATAGGATGATTTAGCCACCCTCAAAGAAGAATCGTATGTCAATTAAAACAGTAATAAATGTAATATGATATAAAATGAAATTAACAAGTAATAGAAAATGAAGGAACGAATAAAAGAAAACGATAAGAGAAAAAAAAAAACTCGAGGCACTGTGAACAATGAACTCACTAAATGATACCCCCGCCTCCCATATGATTATTATTGCAAAGTCCATGTCTTGCTGTGGGCGGGAAAACCAAAAATATGTATCGGATCATAACGTAAAATAGGAGGTGCACAATATGAGGATAAGAGATGGGTACCCCAAAGCGTAACAGACAGACGGACGGACATACTGATTACAGTTTACCCTCCCACTTTTCAAGCGGGGGTTAAAAATGAGCATGAATGATGGAAAAAGCCATAGATGCATTTCAAAGATTGCTAATTTGAGACGTATTTCTTTGAGCAAGTACCGGTAATTAGTACAAGGACGTAGCATCGTTTTTGAAAGGGGCAGTCAGAGAGAAAAAATTGCGACTTTATCTTTCAGTACCAAATTTTTACTACTAGTATATTGCAAGAAAGAAAAAGAGGAGGACCAGCCTAGCTTTCAAAGAGCATTTTCAATGGTAAAAAGTTATATTTGAAAAAAAATACGGAGGGGCCAGATCCCTTTGTCCCCTTCCACGTACCCTCTGATGCTACGTGCCTCCAGTGTTAGTAGAAAAATTATATTTTTTAAAATTAAAATACCCAGGGATGAATACGTTATATTCCGCTCTGTTTCGTATACGCGTCGAAATGAGTTGAATTTAATTAAAGTGGGCTTAGACGGAATAGAGAGAATGTCTGAAAAAAAAAATAGTTATGTAAGATGGGCGATCAAGGCGAGCAGAATGCCTTTTTTGCGACAAATATAAAAGTGATAAAATTAACTCTCAATTATAACATTCTTTATTTCTTTGATACTTCATTTTAAAACATTACCGTCACAGTTCTACTTATCTCAAAACGACATTGATTTTCCATTAAAAAAAAATCTGCTTTTCCGCAACAAATAATACTGCTTTTCTAATATTATATTATATTAATATAATTATATGTTTAGTTTTTGCTTTTCGGGGACTTATATTTTAACACATCCCTCTGTCGTTAGCCAAGTAAAATATATTGCCCATGCTTAGTACGACCAATTATAAACATTGATCACAAGAGGCCAATGGGCCACATCGCTCACCTGAGTACTGTGGCTAGGAAAAAGTAGAAATTGGTTTATTAATGAAAAGTTTAAATCCAAAAGTAGTTCCATGACCAGTCATGGCTTTGCTATTCTACACAAACCGAGGATGTTCTTATATAAATATGATAAATTATGGCTTTGTTATTCTTGAGAAGAAGATTCTTAAAGAATTTTCCTATATATTTCTATATAAAACTTTGGTCGGCCATTTTGGCCCTACTCCCGGGGGTCATGATTTGAACAAACTTGAATCTACACTACCTGAGGATGCTTCCATATAAATATGATGAATTATGGCTTTTTTATTCTTGAGAAGATTTTTAAAGAATTTTCCTATATATTTCTATGTAAAATTTGGTTGGCCATTGTGGCCTCGCCCTACCCCCTGGGGGTCATGTTTTGAACAAACTTGAATCTACACTACCTGAAGATTTTCCCCATAAGTTTCATCTTTCCTGGCACAGTGGTTCTTGAGAAGAAGATTTTTAAAACATGTCACCAAATTTTCATTAATTCCCTATTATCTCCCCTTGAATGAGGGTGTGACCCTTCATTTGAACAAATTTGAATCCACTTCACCCAAGGATACTTTGTGGCAAGTTTGGTTGAAATTGCCTAGCGGTTCTTGAGAAGTCGAAAATGTGAAAAGTTTACAGACAGATGGACAGACAGTCAGACGGACGCTGGACAAACTGTGATCAGAAAAGCTCACTTTAGCCTTCGGCTCAGGTGAGCTTTAAATGATGTCATTTTTTATTTGATATAAAGTCACCAAGGGTCCAAGTAAAATTTAACATATTTTCATCTAAAAACTAGAGGTACTGTGAGCAATGAGCTCACTAAATGATACCCCCCGCCTCCCATATGGATATAATGGCAGTGTCCATGTTTTGCTCTGGAAAATTAAAAATACTGAGTATATGTCAGATCAAAAAGTAAAATAGGAGGTCACAATGGCAATATGTAATTAAGAATCTGTGAAAGTTTCATTAAATTTCCTTCAGTGGTATGAGAGGAGTTGCGGATAAGAGATGGGTACCCCAAAGCGTAACAGACGGACGGACGGAAATACAAATTACTATATACCCTCCCACTTTTCAAGCGGGGGGTATAATGAACAGATCTGATTATTCAGAAATTCACAAGGTCAAAAGAGGCCCATGGTGAACCTTGTTCTTTGTGCTCCCATTACCAAATACTACAGTAACATCATCTCAGATCTGCCCATTTCCCCTGCATTATACTAGTAATACACCTGTTTGTGCATTATGTATACAATTAAAGAATATACAATGGATAAGCAACAGCAACTGTATTCTTAAAATTTCAAGACATTAATTCCGGAATATCCAAAAACCTGTAAATAATATCCTTGTATTTACATTAGGCAGTTAAGAACACTAAACATAGAATGTATGTTACTAAGTATATACATTGCCAGCCATCATTGAATGCAAATATCATGAAGGCTTGACCTTAACTTCAAAACAAACAGCAGACAAAGGTTTTCATTAATCTTAAAGTGACAGATGAAGAGAAGCCTACGAAATTTTCAGCAGCAGGCTAGATAATTAATCCCAATGGATTAATTGAACCTCTCTCATCATTTTCTTCTAAAGTTACAATAAGAACTTTTTTCAGTATTAATGATAGAATGGGGTTTTTAACAAGAGGCCCATGGGCCACATCGCTCACCTGAGCACTAAGGGTAGGAAAAAGTAGAAAATGGCTTTTTATTGTAAAGTTTAAATCCAAAAGTAGTCCCATGACCAATCATGGATTTGCTATTTTTTAGAAAATGATTTTTAAAGAATTTTCGTATATAGATCTTTAAAAACCTTGGTCGGCCATTTTGGCCCCGCCCTACCCCTTGGGGTCATGATTTGAACAAACTTGAATCTACCCTACCTGAGCATGCTTCCATATAAATATGATGAATTATGGCTTTGTCTTTCTTGAGAAGATGTTTAAAGAATTTTCCTATATATTTCTATGTAAAAATTTGGTCGGCCATTTTTTGGCCCCGCCCTACCCCTGGGGGTCATGAATTTGAACAAACTTGAATCTACCCTACCTGAGCATGCTTCCATATAAATATGATGAATTATGGCTTTGTCATTCTTTAGAAGATGCTTAAAGAATTTTCCTATATATTTCTATGTAAAACTTTGGTCGGCCATTTTTTCAGTTTATCACCTATATGGAGAGGCACGAGGTACAAAACTCTGAAAATTTTGAACACTTTCAAATTTTTTTAATTGTCTAAGTTAATATAAGTAAATTACACCTTAACAACACTGTAAGGCTTTTCCATGTAAAATGTATCGGTACATTACATGTAACACTAGACAATATTAATAACTGTAGAAAAAACATTTCATGAAAGAAATGTCAAGAGAATATAACTCCTTTCGAGAAAATATTATCCTAGAATTCAAAATACGAAGGATCTTCTATGACTTTGATTTTTTGACTGATATTTTTCTCCCTGGCTAAGAGTTCAGCTTCAATTTTCAGGTGCTGACATGGAATCAAGTTCTTCAGTAATGGGTTCATATGCTGATTTGGGTTTGGTTTCTGCATGCAGAGATTCAATTTGTGAGTCAGTCAGTTTTTTAATGGCCTCATAAAATTCAGAGAAATCCACATAGGCCTCCACTCTGCCATTTTCGTCCAGTTCCAGCTTATTGGGATTATAGAACCTGGTGGGAAATCTCATTTCTCCACTGCTCTGAGTGGAGGACTCCGTGCTGGTGTAGGTGTGGTTGGTCTCATTGAAAGTAGATTCCAGAGTGGACGAGAGTGTGTCCCGAGGTGGTGTCTGAGCGGGGGTGGGGGTTCCTGGGGTAGAAGATCCACCAGACCCACTGTGGTTCTCCACCCTCTCGGCAGTGCTGAGGTTGGGTATGGTCACTGTGGGTGGCAGGTTTGTGGGGCGGGGACTGTAAAATGGCACAGACACTGGGTGATAGGCCCCACCAGCAGTTGGACTGCTTATTGCATTGGCAAGAGGGTAATTAAAGTTTCTCACTAACAGTGTAATGTCTCCACGTTTCTGACAAATCTGTTTCATTTCTGGCGTTCCTCCGATGAAGGCGTCGTGGTGAATTCGGACAACTTTATCTACCACTGCCTGGGCTACACCATTAAGTGTGGACTGCTGAGAAAATTCGGCTGCCACCATTCGGGCAATGTCAATGTTCACACGATCTGTGTTGGTGGCAGCTTGTAAAGCCTGGTAGAGACCGTCTGACATAATGATCAGAAAACTGGGACGGCTTCCAATCTCAATGCTTCCATGAACAAAGGGGTCAGCAATCACAGGCTCCCTTATTGCATTTCTAAAACACAGAAAAAAAAATATATCAATTACGATATTTACAGCTGCATAGAAAATATCAAAATAATATAATTATTTCTCAGAATTTGCTACCACACTCCTACCTTCCAACCCAAGTATGGGTGGTTATTTTTCAAGTCTGACCTGACACATAGGCAAAGGGATAAAATCCAAAGATATACCAACAGAATGAATGGCAAAGCAAAATGCCTCTCTCATATCATGGCAGGGCAAATAAAAAACATATAGATGGAAAGATATCTGACACTAACCCAGAAGACTTGTGAAACGTACCGTAGAGTCTCAATGTCTTTGTACCCCCCTTTAACGTGGTAGTCCCCTATACACCTGGTGCTGTCAGAACTGCCCACCCTCCTGTGCTGTTTCAGCTTCTCCACGTCCACCCCTAAATGAGACAGTCTGTTCAGCTCCTCCTCGTTGGAGAGAGAATGGTCCACGGAGAGCTGGATCACCTTAAAAACACCGCCCTCGTCTGTCTGACAGAACAAGGCTCGTGTGTCCCCTGAAATTAAATTAGAACTATGAATATTCTGTAAAAGTACTATCTGCTGTGTGGTATTAATTTACGCTACGTATGCAGTCATAAATTCTCCATGGAATTTTTCTTAAGGGTTTCTAAAGTATATTTGAAACATATAGATAAAGCAATCTAAGAAATCCATGTAATTTTCTACTTGTGGTTTGAATAAAAATTGTGATTGCATGGAATTCTGAACCTGCTGAAAAAAGTATGTTGAAAGTAAATGATAAATTTCAACAAATGGCGTTCATTTTTTTAAAACTTAATTTTAACTTACCAACATTGGCAACATATAACTTGCATTTATACACCAGAGCTACAGTTGCAGTTGTCCCCCCTGTTATTTCCCGCTCCAGGTCGTCTAGTTTCTTCATGACGTCTGGGAACTGATTTAAAGCCTCATAGTGCCCTATACCCTATAGTAAAAATAGGGTCAAAGATCAAGCACGTTACAAGAATGTCTCACAAATATAACTTACAACGGTTTTCATTTATTTTCGTACATTTTATCATATGAAACTGTTTTCAGAAAACTTGAGTTATTACATGGCTTTTAATACCACAACTGTATTAACTTAATTGCCCTTTTTTTGTTTTTGTTCCTATATATTCAAAGAACAACATCCTGATCCCCTAAACACATATTTTTCTTGGTACATACCTCAGGCAGCTGTAGCTGTATTGTTGTTTTCTCTGCAAAAATGTGATCAATAGACTCAAAGAAACTCTTCTCAACAGCTATAAATGCCTGCAAAATAGAAAATGAAATTTTTTTCTCTCAAGTTATTCAGATGATATTGTCTCTGCAACCCTTCTTCACATTCAATGGCAATATTTCCTTTCCTTTAAAAAAAATTCTAGACCATACAGTGCATTAACCTGATTCAGGAGATCTTTAATATCCTCATCAGTTGTCTTCCCTGACAGTTGCCCTAGCAACAGCTCGGCTGGCATCCTCTGGGCGGCAAAGTTAGCAGCTCTGCTGCCGTCATGTCCATCAAACACTCCATATAGATAGCAGTCCTCATCATGCCTACAATATCACATCCTTTTGAAAAAAAATTCCTGGGATTTCGGATTTCATTACACATTTTCTGCTGCTCAAGATACAGATGAAATAGGAGTACATTGTAACTGATTGTGACATTATATGACATTTCTGATAAAACAGAATCTAGCTTCTGAATTTCTCTTTCATGATATTAAATATGTGACCTATCAGAAAAACATGTTATTCCCACCTTTTTTCAATTGTTGGATTTTATACCTCTCTCACTTTGCATATTTTGTTGGCAATAAATTTCAGTCGTCCTTCAAGGTTGATTTTTACTTGCCAAAAAATCTCTCAATTATCAGGATATGTTCTCCAACAATTCATCCTGTGCAGGATTATTTCTTAAACACACAGAATAATACTCTTACATTTTGAATTTGAAATGGAAGCTGCAGTCCTCGAATTCATGTTCCTCTCGTCTGATGCCATCCTCTCTGTAGATCTGATTGGTGGAGAAGCCCACTCCCGATAGCGGGCACACGGGCAAGTCATCAGTCCAACTCAAGGCATGTCCCTAAGTAAACAAAACAAACTGTGTTAAAGAAGTCAATGGTTATCAAGATCAGTCATCAGTCAAACTTAAGACATTTCCCTGAGTAAATACTTCAAAATTTTTAAAGAAGTCAATGATTAAGTTCACTAATTAAATTGTACATTTGTCTAATAAAGGAAAGAGTACATGAAAACAAATGTACCGGTAAATTATGGATCAATATTTTTAATGATTTTTTCTAAACTGAAGTTTCTCATCTTAAAAGCAAAGCACCCATCATCAGCATCATGGCCATGCCGCAGTCATCATCAATTTAATTTATTGCTAGCATTTTCTTTTTTTCATGTTCACCTAGTAACCCACTGCTTTTAACACAAATATCTCCTTCTGAATACAAGCCTTTATTTATACAATAGAAGCAAATAAGTGGTAAATTTAAACATATTTGTTAGTCTCTCTTTATACTTATCTCTGAAAAAATTTTGCATAGCTTTAATCAAAATGTAAATAACAACTCTGAACATATTAACATTTAAGTAAAATTCAAAATTGAAGAAATACTGCATACATGTATAACAGAAATCATTAACATGTCTTGAGAATACTGGGATAATAGAGATGCAGGACAATTAACATGCAGCACAAACAAAGAGAAATTTCTAATCTTATTTTCACAATTATCTTACTAGTGGAAACATCTTGAAACTTGGATATTTCAGCATGCTGAAGATAAACAAAGATCAAACTTTAAAAACAGAAACTATACCAATTGAATTGACTAAAAGAAACACTGACTTCTGCTTCATCTTCATTCGGTGAAGTAATGAAAAACACAAAAAGAGGTTTTAAAAATTAAAGTTAGCAACATGAACAGAAGAGATGTGTCAGACGGAAAGTTGATATAAGCCTGGGAAGCTTAGTCGGTAGAGCACCTGACTACTGATGCAGGGGTCCCGGGTTCTATTTCCAGTCCATCCATACATTTTTAATTTCCTGCTACAGATATTTGGGTTATGTCTTCAAGGGCAAAGACCATTTAAGGAGGGATGATTATGGAAATTGTTTGGGCATGGATATTGGTCTGGATAGCTTAGTCAGTAGAGCATCTGACTAGTCATGCAGGGTTTCTGGGTTCTACTTATGGCCCAGTCACACATTTTCTCCTTTCCTGTTGCAGATTTTCTCGTCCTGGCACCAAATCTGTAACAGGTTAGGGGAAATCTTTGGCTGAACCAGTAATTAAACCCAGGACCCCAGCATCACTTGTCAAGTGCTCTACCCACTGTCTCCCTATCCAAACCTGGATATCCACAGCCCAAACGGTTACACATTTCTCCTTTCCTAGTATGACAAATGCATTGCAAGTAATAGCAAGCTGATTATCTGCATAAATTCTGATGTTCCTAAGTATTGCAATACGATGAGCTTGTTGTTATAACAACTTTGAGGAGAATTTTCATGGTATTGTTACTATAACAAGAAAACTTGTTTGTCAATCAACTTTTAGAATGAATAGAAACTGACAGTAAGTAAACATTGTTCAACAAGCCCCGAATAATGGGATTTTGTTTCAGTTAGCCTAGTACTGAGATAAACTCGGTTCTTTCATATTAAAATGTGACTGGTGCCAGTGGTGGCAGATCTGACAAGAGCACTACCTTCGATCCGACATTGTGGGAAGAATCATTTGTCAGAGTATAGGACCTAGTAAGGAAAATTTTCGTAGTATAAACATGCAAAAATATATTTTATACACACATGTGAACCAATTCGTGGAGGCGATCCTACTACCACAACACCATTTGACAGCAAACCACCAGACATAATTTCCCCACATAGGGAAAATCCCGGATGTTTAGCAATTGAAAGCGTCACTTCCGCTTTCGTTTTGCAAGGGCATGTGTTGCTTTCGTTTTGTTTTGCAGTAGACCTTTCCATCGTGTCTTCGCTGTAAGATTTACAGGTTGGTATAATAATTTGTGGAATGGTGATAACTGTTTAATGATTAACAAGAGCTTTTGAGTGATGTATATCTTAATAGGTAAAATCAAATTTTAGCAGTCTTGTTTAGAAATGCAGAGTTAGCACTGTTGTTGTACCGGTAAATGTATTTTACAACTGATATTTATAGGCACAGGTTGTTATAAAGTATTGTATCAAATCAGGTTAAATGTGCACCAAAAAACTAAAAATATGGTTTTAAAAAATCTAGAAATATGAATCACTGTATTTTAAATGAATATGTCTCTCTATTTAATTCATAATTCTGTTGCAGAAATTTGCACAGTTATGGTCATTTGAATATTATTATTCTGGCTGCTCATATGTAAAGGAGAGAGGACATGAGTCTCCGTAAGGAAGTCCTCAGACTTTACAGAAGGATTTTCCGTTTGTCCAGAACCTGGCAGTCTGCTACAGGAGACATCAAGGAAACAGCTGCAGAAAAACAGTACATAAAAGACGAAGCTCGAACACTGTTTAGGAAGAATCAAAATGTAAGATGTTTGATTATTATATATATGATGATTTTAACTGTCCCTGAGTGACATCTGAGGACAATTATTTTAAACTAAATCATTAACTTTTGTCAATTTTTAAGAATTTTCTGGTGATTTAAATTTATAATATATAATAATAATTATATCACAATGATATTGAAATATTACAGCTCACAGATGAAAAAGAAATACAAGAGCACATAAAGGAAGCAGTTACAAGAATAGAAATGGGTAATTGATTGCATATTTATACATCCAGTACTGAGTGAAATTGAGAACAACGAATAACTTTATTGTTTGACCTAAGTGTCATGTTTTTTTAGTTTTCTTTATCCTTAAGAAAACTAAAAAAAAAACATGAAACTAATACATATATGAATAATTACTGTAGATTCCTTAATTTATGCATGGAATTAATTATCGCGTAATTTTGTGAGAAGCATCAAATGCGAAATAAAATTACACGTTTTTATTTTTATGGTGCTGAAATCTATGTTGAAACTCTTGATATTAATCGTCCATTCGCAAATTCTTATTCTCGCGATTTGCTGTTGAAGAGCCCATTTGCGATAAAAAGTACTCGCGAAAAATAAGAAATCTACAGTAATCTAGGTGTGGTGATTTAATTGCCGATTGAACACGCTTGCTTCAAGTTTTACTGAGTGTCAAAATTAATGTGAAATTCAGAATGTATCTTGTAATTAATTTACCTAATTTTATATTTTTCAGCTTTGCATTATGGGACACCATATCCAAGACATGTAAGTATAATGGTCTGTTTTGATAAATCCTGGAAGATGTCATGAAGAATTTTTTAAGAAGAGGCCTGTAGTTCATAATGTTAACCTGTCGTGAATAACTTCAGTCCTATTGTTCTTCATATTTATATTCCTATGAAAAATTATTACCCCATATTGTAACCCCTTTCTAACTCTAAAAGAGCCATAATTTTTTACAACATTGCAATGATTTGATATCATTATGATTAATAACTTAGCCTTCCTGTAATGAAGAAGGAAATTCTCCTGTATACCAGTAGATGCATTTAATACTAAGTATGTAAAAAATTTGATCCCTCTTTTGGCCAACTCTATCACATTGTGCTTAAAGAAAATAATCCAGTCGACTTGGGAGTGTTTGCATAGCAAAAGTGTGAGTGTGGTGCAGGTGAACTGAAAGACTCCTGATTTTAGAATCTGGATCTACTACTAAATAAATATAACCCGGCCTCTATAAACTGGAGCAGAGAAAAAATGGCTAACATATTACAACTTACATTGCTGTTTTTGAAGTCAATAGGATGATTTAGTCTCCTGAGTTTAAGGCTCATAATGTAATCAAACTTAAAGGGAAACTAAAACTTCATATTGACTGAAAAAACAGTAGTTATTGCTATTTATTATAGGTACACTGCATAAACTAATTCGAAGCAAACCAATATGCCATCTTGTTTACATTTGCTATGCCCTAGCCCAATGCAGAGATCAGAGAAAAAGGTTGAATTTTAGGTGCAATGTATATAAAAAAAAATATAATGTCAGACACATAGCACCATTTTGAAAAGGACAGTACTGTAAGATAAATATATGAACCAGAAGTCTCTGTCGAGACTGTAGCTCTACTGGTTTATACTTAAAACAATTAAAGGTAGAGAAAAGTAGCAGTTGGGACTTGAAACTTTAAAACAGCAATAAATAGAAAAATGATCCTTGCCACTCATCAAAAAAACTGATGCACAGAATTATGTATCTTAGTATAGTCTACTTGTGTGCCAAGTTATATTGAAATCGGACCAAACCTGTAGGAGGAGTAGCATTTTGAAAAAATTTCACAGAAATTTCTTTTTTTAGTAACCATGTCAACACCGTTCATCAAGGCAAAAACCGATGCACAGAATTATGTATCTTAGTGTAGTCTACTTGTGTGCCAAATTATATTGAAATCGGACCAAAACTGTTGGAGGAGTAGCATTTTGAAAGAATTTCACAGAAATTCCTATTTTTAGTAACCATGGCAACACCTTTCATCGAAAGTAAACACCCATGCACAGAATTATGTATCTTAGTGTAGTCTACTTGTGTGCCAAGATATATTGAAATCAGACCAAAACTGGAGGAGGAGTAGCATTTTGAAAGAATTTCACAGAAATTTCTATTTTTAGTAACCATGGCAACATCGTTCATCGAAATCAAAAACCGATGCACAGAATTATGTATCTAAATGTAGTCTACTATTGAAATCAGACCAAAACTGTAGGAGGAGTAGCATTTTGAAATCAGACCAAAACTGTAGGAGGAGTAGCATTTTGAAAAATTGTTTACAGACAGACAGACAGACAAACAGCTAGACAGAGGGACGGACGACGGACGCATTACTATCGCATAAGCTCTTCTGGTCTCTGACCAGTAGAGCTAAAAACTCTTTGACAAACCCCTGAGATAAAATTTTTTAGGATTTAAACCCTGTAGCAGTTATTCCCCTTGCACTAAAGTATTTTCTTTTTGACATGTAAGAGTTATCTTTCTTATCATGTGTTTCAGGTCAACTTTCCTCAGCATGTGTTGGCACCATTGAGCTCAAAATTAAAGAAAGCTCAAAAGAGACAGATCAAAGAATCTATACCACTTTACTGGAAATCTTATGAAGACTCAACAAAGTGAAATTTTTTTAAAAGACTTAAATGTATTGTGACATTTTTGACATTGGTAAATTCTCAATGTACAGAATACTTTGTAAAGACTGCAATATACTTCTTGTTGAGTAATTATATTATTTCATTTCCTGGATTAATACTACAATAAACCAAACATACAAAATACATAGTAATTTTTATTTCCAAAAATATAATAAAATCAACACCTGGTTAGATTGCATGTTTTATCTATAATCTCCCCTTTTCATATAATGGTACATGTATATAAGACATAATGTGAAGTTCATCTAGGATACCAAAGGCAGATGCAATCCCCCCCCTTCAATTTGAATTTTTAAAAAAAAAATTCATCTTCTCTCTTCAATTTCGTCCAATGCAGCATATGAATTTGTCAGCCTCCAGGGCCTTTGCCTCAGGACCTCCAGCAGAGCTTTGCCTTGGACCTACTTGAGGCTGCAGGCCCCAGACACCCTGCCTTCTACTTTGCCTCCCCCCACCTAAATTTCCTGCATCCACCATTGAATATCTAGTTTTAATAGGAGAGGGAAATGACACGACTCGCATTCATTTTTGCATCCATTGAGATAAACTTGATTATACAGTAGAAAATATTTTCTACCTTAATGTAGGGGCAACACTTGGTAATGGTTTTACCTTTGATGTTATTCTCAGTATGGGAAACTTGGTAAAGGTAAATAATTTTAACTTAATTTCCAACTGGTCTGACCTAGCAGCCTATTTTCTTTTATCCTGCAACTACCCCTTGCATTGACCTAATGGAGGTAGCCTAATAAAACAAAGTGTTTTCAGTCTATGCCCTTATATAGACTTGTGCATGTATTCTGACACTCTAAAAGCATTGTGATGTCATGTATATTGAAATGTTTAGGCTATGGCGTCTTAGTTTCATCTGCAGAGATGTGCCTAAATCAGGTTGACAAAAGCTCATTCAGGAGGCCAGATATAAAAAAAAATTTTGCAGGGTAAACAAAATACATGGGTAGGGCCCCCTTTTACATTTTCTTACCCTCACCAAAATATCACTAAAAGGCATATTTCGAGACAATATCCATGTATATATCCACACACTCCATAATCATATGCTGACTTTTTACTCCAACCTTTCATTTCCACCTTCTAAACTCATTTACACCCACAAAAAAAAAATTGGAACACTTTTGTCATGATTTTATTGTGAAGTTAACACATGATGATATATGATTATCTATGTACAACAAATTCCAGATATCAGTTATCCTGGTCCCGATCTTTCTTACCTGAAAATTAAACCAAAATTATTAAAGCACAGAGTGAAATAAAAGATACTACAGTTCTATCAAACATATGAGCTTTTTAAAATCACCATACAAGTCTGATCTTTTTCTGACATTTTACATTACACATGTAGTGAAATTTAGCATTACAAGTAATTTCTAATGCAAGATATAATGCTCATTCATCTGCATAAAAAAATTCATGAAATATCACAGTCTTACTTTTTTCCCTCAATTCATCCCTGGCCTTCATTCTGGCAATGAAGCCATGGCTCTTGTTCTTTCTGAACTGTTCAAATGGATCCCTCAGATCTGATCCCACTCCTTTGAACATATCCTGTCTGTCCCTAACATCCCCACCAGAGATGGGATTCACAATCCCCTGCTCAGTGGCTCCCAAACCCTTACCTCCCCAACCTAAGAAAAGTTTTTGAAGAAGGATAAAATTCTGAACTCTGTAAACACTCAAAAATAAACTATGTACATGTAATTAGAGTTAGAAAACTGCCACTTTAACCAAGAATACAGAAATGAAGTAAAAATATTACCGGGGGGGTACACACAATTTTTAATCGCCTAAATCTCCTGAATTTCTTACCCATCTTCATCAGCATCTGGTGTCCTTTATTGTCCTCTCCCAACTTGGAGTCTCCCAATGTTTGTGATGCTCCCATCCCAACACTACAATGATAACGTTACAAGGTACATAAAATCAGATTGAAGGTATCGAAACTAAATGCTTCTTTCTTTCTTCAGCATCAATAGCTTCCAATGAAAATGCATCAAAATGTAAACATACAATTCATTTGTGGGAGTTGGACTCCGAGACACCCTTCTCTGTCGCGGTGGTGGTGAAGGCGACCTGCTGCTTCTTTGATAAGGTAAAGGTGACTCTGACCTGTAAACACAGAAAAATAGTACTTTCTATTCCATAATGTCAAATTTTTCAGATTCGAGTATGCTGTAAACATTAACTCTAAATTTCAAATTGCCAAATAGCATTTTAAATTGGTTAGTTACCTTGACCTGCTTCTCCTGCCACTGCGCCTCCTGCGAGCTCGGGGTGAAGGCGATGGTGACCTGCGAGCCCGGGGTGAAGGTGATGGTGACCTTGATCTTGACCTTGTTCTACTTCTGGATCTTCTCTCCTCTCTGTCTCTAAACTTTTCCCTTTCTCTTGATCGGGAGCGTGATCTTGACCTCGACCTGGAGGGAGACCTGGAACGTGACCTTGACCTTGATCGTCGACCCCTTTGTTGTCTTTCTGCTTCTTTTTCCTCCTCTTTTAATTTCCTTGCTCTTTGCTTGGCTTTGAAGAACTCGTACAGACCCAATTTTTCCCATCCCTCACTAGGAAAGAATTGAAGAAAAAATCAAATATAAAATCTACCATACATATCTCATCATTTGTGCATGACTAAGACTCATTATCACACCTGTCTCTTGGTCTTTCATGAGTTGGAGCACTGTAGAAGGCCTCAACAGCTAATAATAGCCTTTCACTTGGTGGCATAGGAGGTGGTAAACGGATGTCTTTGGGATCTAAAGGACGGTACTCATGGTCTTCAAGCTGTAATATGTAGGTTAATGTTAAAACATTTTTGCAATAAAAAGAACATTAGTGGTTGATTTTAAAAATTTTTAATGAAAAAAATTCGTCTATGAATAGAGGGATTCATTTGATAGTTCAAGGTCTTATTATCTATCGTGTTTAAAACATTATCTTTGATAATTACCCGATTATAAGGGTGATGATAATAAAACATTAATATTTCAAACATACACTTTACCTTGACCAGTGGAGCCATGAGTCCAGCAGGTAGTTCATAGTATGGCACTGAAGGTGTCAGGTCAATATCTGAGGGGGGTGGCCCTGCAAAGGGGGGTGGTCCAGCAGGGAATCCTGGGGGAGGTTTGCTAAGATCTGGGAGGGCAAACTGATTCTGGTTGGGGCCTGGTGCAGGGGGCCCTGGGGTAAATCCTGGGGGTAAACCTCCTGGGGGGCCACTGGGACCTGGTAAGATACAGACTTACGTCAGAGAGAATTTACACATAATATCATGGTACATGTACTTTAACTCGATCATTATGTATATAAATGTACATTATTAGCACTGTGTATTCATTCGTCAACGAAAGGTCCTCAGGGGGCATATATATTTTTAAACAATTATATAATCATGATTATAACAAATAATGGAAGCATTAATTGAGATATATATAGAATTTTACAGATGGTGATAATTATGTTTTGGAACAGCATTAATTTTTTTCTACCAATAATTATCTTTCCAGTAAAACTGAAAAACCACATACAGTAGAACTTAGGTATCTTGAACACTGATATCTTGAATACCTTGATATGTTGACTTCCATTTTGAGTTCCCAACTACTTATTCTTAAAATTTTTAACCTTTGATTTATTTCAAATCTATGGATATCTCAGTCTTCTCCCAGTCCCATCAAGTTCAAGACAACCAGATTTGACAGTATTTCATAGATTTTTTATTTATTAGGATATGACTTCGCTTACCAACATTTTGAGGGGGTGGCCCTCTAAAGCCTGGAGGGGGTCCACCAAATCCCCCGGGTGGTGGACCAAACTGTTGAGGGGTGGATCCTGGAGGCAGTCCCTGGAGTGGCTGACCCCCTGGCATTGGACCTAGCTGTTGCTGAAAAGAAAAATAAAATATCAATCCCAAGATACAATCTTCATACAAAATTATGTTAAACTGTAATCAAATTGCTCTCTCTTAGGTTGTCTTAAAAAACAATATTTTATGCTACCCTTATTAATAGTAACAGAGTCTATATTTTCTTTTTTAAAAGAAATTCAAAGACACTAATTAAAAGACACTAATTTCAAATGTCATGAAGGCAATTTCCTTAGAAACTTGCTGTAAAACATTTCAGAAATGTGGCCGGCGGAATGTTTTTCTATCCTTCTCAATACGTCATTCTTATAGTTATAGGCCTATAAAATTTCTTATTGAGTTTATGGTCAGAATTGATGATTCTTTCCATAACTAATACCATTTAATCATCATTAAGTACAGGTCTCTGTAAGAATCAGACGAAAGGTGAATCATGAGGGTTCTCAGAATTGGATGATTTTACACACATAGGTTTCTCTTACACTATGAACCACTTATGTAAAATGAAAATTATTTTGGGTCCTGGTTACTATGGAAACATGGCCAAAGAAATTTTCCCTAGCAACCGGTCAATTTTCAATGTGGATGGGCAAATATATCACTAAACTTAGAGGCTTGAAATTGGATGTGAATATTACAAGAGGGGTTCTTAAATAATGTTATCATAAGAATAAACATTTCAAGTGATAAAACCATATAATACATAGAATTTTTATTTTAAGATATTTCTTTTACGGGCAATGGAAGATATGCATGTTTTGCATTTTTTGCTGATTCAGCATTTTTGTTAATTTGGGCAATTTTCAAGGCCATATATCTCAAACTTCTGGCACAATACAAGAGTATGGTATATTTTACATAAAGGCAGAGGAATATCCTTTTTGCAATTTAAATTCAAAAACGTGTGTTTTTTAATATTTACAATCGGTTGCCTAGCAACAAAAATGGATGTTTTGATTAAGAGAAAGAGACAAATTGTCAAATATGCGAGTTATTTAAGGAATTAAATATTATCGGTGGATAACAAAATCAATTTTTAAAGTAAAAACATATTTCTGAGACTTCTTTATGAATTCAGGAATATTTTGCAAATACTAATCGCCATGGCAACAGAAAATTCCCCATAGCAACAAAGAAAATAAATCCACATTTGACATGCACTCATTCACAGATTTGATTATTTTCGTCTAGATATGATGACTTGGTAAATATTAAAAAAATAGTGTTGAACTTAAAACAATAGTAGTTTTTGATCTTAATTAATGCATAGCAATATTACTGAGCTTATAACGTTAATAAAATTATACATTACAAGGAGCTAAAGTTATTCTCTAAAGTCTCTGTAGATAAGCATTTTAAGACCAATTCTCCGTAATTATCAAAATTAGTTGGCAACTCATAGTTAAAGATTTGGATTTTTTCTATCATAGTTTTAAACAAATGTGTGATTGATTGTGAAATGTAGAAGTAATTTTGAATTATAACCTCGGTTGCCATGGAAACGGGATACAAACTTTCTCATTTCTGTAAAGCATGAAAATCTGCTCTTTTCATGAAGATGTCCAGAAATGAAAAGAGATAATTAAGGAGGCTGGCGGGTCAAAAATTTAATCTTAAATTAACCACCAGATTTAACTTATTTTTTTAGATATGGTATATTTAGCTGTCAACTATCATTTGGCAATGAAAAAATTCATATATTTTAATTTTAAAATTTTATCATTTTGTATATATTTATATGTAGCTCTCCTTTTAAAGGAGATTGAAATAGTCTAAAAATGGCTGCCACCCCCTAGCCTCGTTAAATTTGTGTTTATTTTTTTTTAATCAATGCTAGAGATTCAAACAAGTGTTTACGGTTCAATTTTAATTTCACACTTGTCAGAGGTCAATGATGTTAGTAGCTGCAGATCTGTAGCTCTCCGAAAAAATAATTTGACAGATCGGAGAGCTACAGTGCCACCCATTGAGAAAACTGTATATTTATTGCGCACAAAAAAGTGCGCTGTTTATCGATTTATTTCTCCATATCTTTAAAACTATAATCTCAAAATATTACTAATGGTGTATTCCTAGCCTAATTTTTCACTGTTTCCACAACAAAACATACCTTATAGTTGTTGTTTATAGCCCTCCTGGCCCTGAAATCGATATCATCGAAAATTTCGTCCGTTTATACTGCCATTTTGGTTTGTAAGACAATTCTACCCAACGCGCTTCGTGTAGATGTCAACTACAAAAGTACTTAATTGAAGAGTACGGAATTTTTTGAAATCTACATTTTTTGCAATTGAGGTAAGAATTTGGAAGAATTAATCCATACAAAAGCGCAACTTTTTGTGCGCAATAAATAATTAGTTTTTTCAATAGGTGGCATTGTAGCTCTCCAGTCTATCAATATATTTTTCGGAGAGCTACAGTTCTGCAGCTATCATGTTAGGTACTGGTAAATATCAAAATATGGAAAATTTTGCTTTTTAAAGGCATAGTACATATATAGTACGATCATTTACAAATGAAGCATAGAAAAATAAAGGTCAATATCTTATTATATTAAACATTTTAAATAAAAAATATCGGTTGGCAAATGATATGCATACAAGAATTTAAAGGTGAAAATTAATTTTTTCTGCATTCTATATAATTTTTTTTAATAAATCACGCCGGGAGCAAGCCCCTGTGCATTTTTCTTTCCATTTTTTGGCTTTCATGCATTTAACCCGAGATTCCTCTGCTTTGAAAATTGTGACACCTGAAGGGTCCTCTGCCCTGACTCTCCCCTTACCCCGGTACATTTCGCAATAAATATATAACATTAAAAACACCTTGATGAGAGACAATGAAGACATATGTCAGGTCAGACAGTGACCGACACAATCTCTACGTAACACTGTATGTATATACTTACAGTAGCTTGCTTTTTAGACGGTTAGATGTTCAAACTAGCATGATTTACAATTTTTACCACACTAAGTTTTCCTCATGAGCAATCTTTTTATGAAGTCACAAAATGCATCTTGGTGTACAGGGGCTTGCTCCAGCTGTTTAAAATTTTTTTTGAAATATCATTGTTTGTATAATTGGTATATGATGTTTTTATTTCAATTTTTTTTTTACAATAAAAGCACACCTTCAGCTAGCACCAAATTTTTTTAAATGCAAAAATACAATTCCTTTATTTCCCTTAACTGTAAAGTTGTGGGGGCGGGGTACCTTTCAATAAACATTTCCTACAGTGATAAGTTACGTTCGAAAAAACTTGGGGGGGGGGGGGGGCATCCCCAGGGCCTCCTGGTGCTACATCTCTGATTTAAAACAATTGTCCAAATTGGGTTTAATAAATCTACAATACATCATTAGGGAATCAATGCCCTAAGCAGGACAAATACAGAAAAATTGCCTGCAATTGTCCAAAGTCAATACTTGCCATATAAATATGGGACTAAAAAAAATATAGCCTAATATTTTGCACTGTAAATTTCTATCCCTAGCGTTCATAGCATTTTTTATCACTTTGCATGAAATGATATATATTTTTTACCAAGCAATGGATTTCGAAAATCAAAATACATCTTTCGATGTCTACAGTCGCCTGCGTGGCGCAGTGGTTAAAGCGTCTGCTCGAGAGTCGTGAAGTATGGAGTCAATCCTTACGTCCCGGGTTCGAATCCCACTGTGGGACGTGGAGACCGGTCCTTCGGATGAGACCCGTGTCGCAGTAGGTGCTGGCACGAAAAAGGATCCCTCCCTGCTCAATGGCCCTCAGTGCCAAGAATAGGACAAAATTTGCAGCTCTCGACCAGCAAGTGGTGGCGTCTCCATGTGAGTGAAAAATTCTCGTGAGAGAGACGTTTAACAATATACACAATCAATCAATCGAAGTGTACAAATTCTCTGTAATTTTGTGTGTGTGTGTGTTTTAAACTTGAAAAGCATTTATTTCAAAAGATTAATCAAACTGTTTTTTGTAACTTACAATGATATAGTGTTATTTAAAAAGAGGGTTGTTTTGATGTATTCAATAGGTATATACAGGGTGTTTCACAATATATGTCACACATCTAAATGGGCATAATCTGAATATCGAACATGATACCAAAAATACCAAAACACGATAGTTAAGCATATTGATCTAAAATTATTATGTTGCAAAATATCGGGAAAATTATAATAAACCAGGAAGTAACTGATGATATAATCAGTGATGTCATAATTTCAGTTATTCTCAAAATTGCGTAAAACTTGCAGCAAAATTTTGTTGTAATTTTTTATTATAAGAACCGTTTACGATATTTTATATACCGGTATTTTACAGGGGGTGATGATAAAAAATAACTAGACCAGAAATTACTGTTTACTTTTCTTCTTTAAGAATAATTAGAGGGTTTAAATTATATTATAATGTAAAGATGAAAGACAGTTAAACTTGCCATCCTCTTCACCCCACCCTACCCCAAAAAATTCAAGAAGAGATGAGAACAATATCAGAGTGAAGTCAATCATTGAGAAAACCTCATGAAAGTCACATCTGAGTTTAGGAAGATGGGTTGTAACAATGCCAGTAAGTGTATCAAGAGTATTTCGAAATCTTAAATTAGAGTTAAGTATGTCTGCATACAAGAGTTCAACGTTTAAAGTCAAATGACATTCAGAACCGGGGTAAAAGTTTGCAAGATTGACTGAAAGGAAGAGTGAAAGAAGTGGGCACCAATTAACACATACCGGTAGTTCTGAAACGAAACATTTATTTAAATGCAACTTTAAATAAAAATAGATATGCACTTTGGGGGTTCTAAAAAGCCAGATATAAAACAAGAAAAGTCTCAGAAATCTTGGGAAACTTACAAAACAGTGATCAGAAATTTATAAACATTAGTCTCTTAAGTTATTTAGGACAATGTTGGGAAAACACTTGAATAACATTTTAGGATTTGTTGCCATAGTAACTGAGGTGGTGGATTTTGGATACTTCTGACTAAAAAAAATAATTTTGAATATATGCCGATTAAAATGATATATAAAATGTGTATGTAGCTTTTGTTGTTATTTATCTATCTGTCTTTAGATGTGTGACATATATTGTGAAACACCCTGTACGTATACATCAATACACTAAAAATTGTATAACAAATATTAAAAATGAATTTCATTGGCTAGGCTTAGCAAAGTTAATTGTACATGTTCAGTAGAAACTGTAACACAATGTACATATGTGCTAAACTCCCGAAGACCAAATGCCCTCAAATTAGTACAGTTACTTAGTCATTATTACACAGAATAAAAAAGAATTATGTAATCTAGGAAAATTTGTGCAACTAGCGAGTGCAGCAAGAACAGCGCCTTTCATTTGTTTATACATTATAGAAAATATAATATGTACTATACATGTTGCATGTTAAACTCATTATTATACATGTTATATTTGTTATTAAACATGTATAATTGTGAGATATATGTCTCTTGACTTCAATAAACTGAACTAAACAGATGAAATAAATAGAATGCCTAATTTCATCAATGTACCTTAATTTTCAAAGAATAAATTCATTTTCAAATGTTTGAATTTTATGAAAAAAAAATGTTTTTTTTTTATATTTGCAAAATCTGATTTCTACTTCATGCACTATTTAAAATACCAGTACCCACTAGATTTTCTGACTTCAGCATAAATTTGCATGTTTCATTAGCTGTCTGAGTGTTTACTTTACTGAAATTTGGCAAATGCTCCTATCTTGAGAAAAAAAAAAACAGGAAAATTCAAGAAAGTCGATCAAGGAATTTTGTCGTGGGATGGGTTTAGGTGGGGGTGGGGGTAGTAGAAGGCAGGGGGTCCTGGGCTGCACTGAAGTCTCCAGCTGCAGTGGGTTTAGGGCAAGGCATTAGTGGGGGTCCACAAATGAAAGATGTTTTCTCCTTGTTTTAGGATAGTGGACATATAAATTTTATATACACTACTGTACATGTACAAAATCTTCAAACGGAGGGGGGGGGGGGGGGGGGGGGGGGGGGAGGGTAACCGGCACACCGGCCCTGGATCTGCATTTGTGACATGTGACATGATTTTGTTACACCCGATTGCACACTCGAAATGCGTGGCCGACATGTAGTACTCCTTGTGTGGTTTTAGATTTTTTGCGTTTATTCCTTGTTTTTATGTGCATTTTCTGTTTGTAAATGATGTATCGACCTGTATTTTTCATAATACTTTTGTCCTGTTTTGGAAAAAGTACGTTAACTTTAATAATTTCATCACGACCGAGTAGCACGGCTATGTGAGATGTACGTCTACACTCATCGGATCTTTACAGCAAAATACATTGAAGTGATAAGCAATCTGCTCCTTATATATGGGTTGTAGGAAGAGCTTTGAAGAACAGGAAATATGGCGGACTATGCCTTTTTACGAGTAGTGTTCAGCTTTAATCAAGAAACGTGTTATTTGACTCACCTTAAATAATACTTTTCTGCATGGAAGAACTTAAGTTATATTGGATACATGTATCACTTAAGAAATAAGACATAATACCCCCTCCCTTTTAGGGGTAGTTGGGACCACAAATACATTTAATCTTTCCAAGGCTAAACTGATTTTTGCTTTGATCCCAGCTACGGTGCTCAGGTGAGGGATGTGGTCCCTGGGCCTTTTGATTCAAATTTAATTGATGCATATTCTTTTCTGCTTAATTCCCTAGCACTGCTATTTTTGGAAGAATAAAGTTTGAAAATTTTGAAATGTGAAAATCTATATTAATTATGACCAAAACAATGTCTTTATATTGATCATCTGAGTGAGTTATATAGAAATGTGATTTTTTTTTTAAATTTAGGATGAAATAAAAACATGCATATTTTACAGTTGAAGGCTTGTTGTGGTTTCGTCCCTGGAAAATGTTTCAAGTCTCTTTTCTCTAATATTTTGTTGTACATGTATTTCAACCTTTACATGTAATTTAGCTGCAGATCTGTAGCGTTATGGTTTTATATACTTGTCTTTGACCATAACGCTACAGATCCCGTAATGCGAAAAAGGTGCAATTTACGGCGCAATATTTCTTGCACGCTTTTGGGGAGAATTTCTCCTTTTTCTAGCATTGGTTAATCAAATACCTTTCATTCCCTTATTCTAGACACATTCTGTAGCCAATGTATATATATATATATATATATATTATCTACCTCCCAACCATTTATAGTTGTCTCTACAGGCAATAAACTCGCTTGAAGTGAATTTTTAGCAATCTAACATAATATTTCAGTCAAGTGAGTTTATCAGTTGTAGAGATAGCTGCAGATCTGTAGCTATCCGAAAAAAATTATTGATAGACTGGAGAGCTACAGGGCCACCCATTGAAAAAACTGTATATTTATTGCGCACAAAATAATGCGCTCGGTTCTCGATTTATTTCTACATGTTTTTAAAGCTGTAATCTCAAAATATTACTAACCATGTGTTTCTAACATATTCTTTGACTCTTTCCACAACAAATTAAATATTCCTCATAATTGTTGTTAATAATCCTCCTGGCCCTGATATTGCAATCATCGGACATTTCGCTTATTTATACTGCCATTTTGGTTTCAAAGATAATTCGGTCCAATCTGCAGATCTGCAGCTACATGTAACTGTGAGACTGACATCGAATGATAACTCGTCTAACTTTTATGGCCTGGAACCCTGCCACTTGTTTGTTTAGGTACAAATGTTAACTATAACACTCTTATCATGTTAAAATATGCCATATTTTTTTCAAAATTTATGACATGTTGCCATGGTAACAATGACACATAACAACCAATTTTTTGCATAACTTTTAGTAACAATGTCAGAGATTTTAAAGGAGTTTTAAGAAATTCAGAGACACTACATACCACATGTACAGCTCCTATATAAATGTTCAGGTCATTATAGATGATATGGAGCTTTAATAACTTTTCATGATAGCTACATGCTCAATGTTATTGCCATGGGTTTACCTTACAAGCATTCTGAGATTATTGCATAACAATACATGTCCCCTACCGGGTTCCCCCTTTTCTCTAGAATGTCATTTTATACTATGCAAAAGTTATGACCATGATGTTAAAATTTTGAGGTTATGCATGACTTTAATCTAAAAAAGAAATAAAACACATAACGGAAATTCAACTTATTTTTTCAACATCTTTTGGCTTCATGTTTACCATGCAATCGCATCATCTCGGGTCTTTCCGTCAGAGGTCGGAAAAACAACCTCGAATGTATTAACATCACCGGATGTTAAAAATTTATACATTTCCTGTTTATTCAAATACAGGCTAGACGGATTTAGAAGTTCCTTCTATAGTATATTTTAGGTGATATCATTACATTTAATAAAGTAAAGCTCCATATTCCACAGATAAAAGTTCTCAATGCATTTATTTCAAAGATCGTGAAAAAGGAGGGTTGTCATGGCGTCTACCATATACATTCGAGGTTGTTTTTCCGCTAGTCGGAAAGGCCCGAGAAGTTACGATTGGTTTACCATGTTGACCTTTGGAATTTAGCGCAGCACGAACCCGATCTTAAACCATTATGAAAAAATTAAAACGGCATAAATCTATCAAAAATTAATGAGGCGTAACGAAATTCAAACTTAATCTGTAACTCACCAAGATACACTCACATGCCGAAATTCAGCTCAATATCTTCAAGCGTTCAGAAAATAAGTGCGGAAACCCAAGTAGGACAGACTTACACACAGACATGGGGACAGCTAGTCCGACGGACAGACTCAGAGGAAACCTATAGCCTTCCAGTTTCACCGGTTGGTGACTAATAAAGTACAAAAAATGTACTGAGGCTCTTAAATCACTGTGGTCTGTCAAACACTGAATAATCTTTACAAACATATATGAGTTCGTGTCAAAAGTTGATTTATTTTCTTTGTTACTATGGGGAATTTTCTGTTGCTATGGCGATTAGTATTTGCAAAATATTCCTGAATTCATAAAGAAGTCTCAGAAATATGTTTTTACTTTAAAAATTGATTTTGTTATCCATCGATAAGATTTAATTCCGTAAATAACTCGCATATTTGACAAATTGTCTCTTTCTCTTAATCAAAACATCCATTTTTGTTGCTAGGCAACCGATTGTAAATATTAAAAAACACACGTTTTTGAATTTAAATTCCAAAAAGGATATTCCTCTGCCTTTATGTAAAATATACCATACTTTTGTATTGTGCCAGAAGTTTGAGATATATGGCCTTGAAAATTGCCCAAATTAACAAAAATGCTGAATCAGCAAAAAATGCAAAACATGCATATCTTCCATTGCCCGTAAAAGAAATATCTTAAAATAAAAATTCTATGTATTACATGGTTTTATCACTTGAAATGTTTATCTTTATGATAACATTATTTAAGAACCCCTCTGGTAATATTCACATTCAATTTCAAGCCTCTAAGTTTAGTGATATATTTGCCCATCCACATTGAAAATTGATCGGTTGCTAGGGAAAATTTCTTTGACCATGTTTCCATAGTAACCAGTACCCAAAATAATTTTCATTTTACATAAGTGGTTCATAGTGTAAGAGAAACCTATGTGTGTAAAATCATCCAATTCTGAGAACCCTCGTGATTCACTTTTATACACATATTGTCTGATTCTTACAGAGACCCGTACTTAATCGTTAATTAATCTGGTCAGAGTGTGATACGAACCTGCATCAGAGGTGGTGGTTCTGACGTCACGGGTGGGGGCTGCTCTCCGACAACAGAGGGTGTTGGCATTATCTGCGAAACCTGCACCACCTGAGGGTCCCCAAGGCCAGGGACAGCCATGGGGGCTGAGGATGGGATCTGTTGGGGCCCGGGGCCCATCGAGGCAGGGAGGGGAGCTGAGTGTGGTATTATTGGAGGAATGGCACTCCCTGAGTGATAAAAATCAATAATTGTGGTTCGGAGTATAGAATGCATGTCAGAAGGCAATTTCTTTTCAGTCAGAAAAAAAGTGTTTAGTTAAAATCAATATGATAAAAATTTCAGACTTCTTAAATTTCTGGCCAGGAATAAATTGCTTCTATAATACAAACTCCCATAGGAAATTTGTACAAACTCATGTTTTTTTTTAATGTCTGATATAAGTTCATTTCACAACTGATAGATTCAATTTCCCCACTTCTCTGGTTCACTATCAAAACAAAGGTTTTATATGCTAGCTAGGCTTGCAGAAATTTGATTTCATTCTTTACCTCAACTCTGAGATAAATTACATTTTAGCATGAGGAAGATGCAGCATATTATCATAAGTTTTTTATTAGCATGCTTCTGTACAGCACATTTTTATCAAAGAAAATCATAACTCGATAACTTTGAACAAATTATGTGTATATATAATGAATGCCCACTGCAAATTCCAAGAAGATACATTGTGCCTTTTTTTAAATTGCTAAAAAAAAAAAATTCAGGAATTTTAATTATTTGAACTGCAGATGACTTAAAACATTATTCGAAAATGAATCCAATAAGATGTTCCATCCTTTTAAATATGTGGGGGGAGGGATGGACTGTTTTAGCCATTAATTAATTAATTAACTTTACCTGGGGGCAGTCCCTCTACCATGGGGCTGATCACCTGGGGAGGGGGCGGACCTTGTTGTTGCTGTAACATCTGCAACTGTTGCTGAAGTTGCTGGAGCTGATTGTTAAGGTGAGCCATGAAGTCCTGGTGCTGCTTTTGCAGGTTGCCATACTTTTGCTGTGTTGCTGCACTGATCTGACTGACCACTGCTGCATGTTCATTCAGCAAGTTTGTCTGAAAAGTACAAATAAAATGCACCTGTCTTAAGCATAAAGTGGAATCCATAGAAAAGTAGGAATCTTAAAACACATTGTCATTCAAAAATGATTCCATTTTCCCTCTATCTACTTTTAAAAATTCTCAAAAAAGTTGCAAAGATAATTTTTAAAAAATTATATTTATGTATATATATATATACTGTACATTTTAAAAATATTTTTTACAAGATCATACCTGATAATTTGTTAGAGCTAGAGTTGGATTCTTTAATTGCTGAAAAAATAAAAACAGTAACATATGAATAAATAACTTTTCAATCTCAAACTACTCTATTTTATTCTAAAAGTACAAATAAAGTGTACATCAGCCAGATATTTCATTCGATAACTGCAAAATGTACATGTTTGTCAAGTGTTTAACATATCCATACATGTCAGGATGTATAAATTTCAGTTCAAAATAAAGGTAATTAAAAGAATTCTTAAATCAATTTCTTTATGAATATAGAAATATGTTGATTTATTTCCATAATGCATGTACTAATTTCTTGAAGAGAAAGTCAAGATTTTTTTTTTGAAGAGAACTAGACATTTTGATGACCTTCCTGCCTATGAGAATTGTCTATAATGACTTGTCTTCATGGTTTTAGACAATAATCTATTGACCTATATGTATTGGTATAATTACTGAGCACCAGGAATATCGGTAATCTCGCATGTGACTTATTGGCACATGTACGGATTTCCAAACACGTTTTATGTTTTATATTTGTGTCAGATGCATGTTCTTTATATTTCTTCCCGTATACAGAGATATTAATAATCACACCAAGTAAAAAAATGTTTTTTATTAAATCAACCTTCTCACTTTTCTTTCAAATCCATCACTATACAAAGACAAAATGACCAATTGTCGGTAATATATGACCCATATACTTATCAGCACTAGAACCAAGAGTGATTTAATAATTCGATCTATATGCTGAACCAAAACATATTTACATGGCCTACATTATAAATTCCCCATATTTAAATCCCCCAGTTTACAAATTCCCCCTTGGCCTTTTTTAAGTGCAGTATTGTGTATGGGGTATTGTGCATGCATGATTATTTTCATTCAACCAAGAATTCCTGACGTCATGAATTTACAGAGGAAATCTCCCTTTCGTGGGATATTGAACTCTGTTTCGGAATTTTATCTTTCTGGGACTGAAGTCAAAACTCTCGAAATTGCATCACTCGGCAGGTCATGCCCCTTTTGTGGAGAAATTTTTGTAAACATGCCTGATCAAATTTACTGAATTGAGAAAGTGTAAACGACTTTTAGATCTTTGGCAGTAATAACAATTACACAAGTATTTCTGTGGAACTAATTTATTTACAGGCGTTTGAATCTCAGATTTATACATTAACTATAATTAAGGTCTCACAAAAATGATAACTATAAACCAAAACTTTTATTTCACCAGTAAGTTCTTAATTGATTTAACCTGACAATTCACATGTTTTTGTTATTGTAACATTTTTACAGAAATCAATCTATGATCTGTACAGAAATGTTAAAAGACCATAAACATTAATTAACAAGAATTTGTTTGATCTTCATTCTTAGTATTAACTGATGAAGTGTACGCTTGAAATAACATGTATTCCATTCAGATAAAAAGGAATTAGACTACTACGTTCTTAAATGCCAGCTAGCTGTGTCCTTCAAATAAATAAAACGCAGTATTATTGCACAAATATTTTGCTTAGCCAACATTTGGTTCTATATAATCACCATTTTCCTAGATAAGGATCAAACTGACTGAGCACATTTTTGAAAATGTGATGACAGAAGACATTTATCCAGCCAGGAAATTCCTATATAATCTTATAATTGCAATCTCCTTACTGATCGAGCCTTCTATGTATTATAGTTTCTGTAATCTTAGTTCCGACTTTTACAGTCATGATCAAGTCTGGGTATGAGATACTTAACATAATATCTTATAAAATATTATTTATTTAATTCTAACATATCTTTCCTATCGTATATTTTTATCATATTTAGATAATTTGGGGAAACACTTTTTTCCTTGTAAGTTTTAATCCTGCACTGGGTGATGCACCTTAGATCAGATAAAAACATTTGCAAGTTTCTGCTGATGCACATGTAAAATATATTTGTTTTGGCAGAACAAAGGAAATTCTAACATCGTTCTATTTTTAATCCAAGTCAAACCTAACAGATAAAATCTTAGCATCAAGAACTGCATTACGATCAAACTTTTTTTTATGAAGCTGATTCATAAACTGTATGGCAGCAAAAAGCATTCCATTACATCAGTTCATTTTTCTCTGAAAGAACTAGAGCAATTACATGCAGATTGTTTCACCGTTCATAGTGTATACAGTATCTAAAACAGATTCGCTCAACAATTCTTGTTTTCTTTTGAAAATAAACCATGTTATCGATAAAAAAAAACCCACTGCAGTCCTCTACCTCTCTAACGAATCAATAATTTGCATAAATTTACACTAATGACTAGTCAAGGACTAATGATATCTATATCTGTTTATAGATGAATGACAAAATCAGAATGCATTTCTACATGTAATTTGATCAAAAGATTTATTATTTACGATGAGTATGCAGGTCTGTAAAAGTAAACAACCTCGTTATCTAATTTCATAAAACCGGCATAAATTTCAAAAGTCTGAACATAAATTTTCATTACATATCCACCTGCTTTGCAAAATGAATGTCTGCGTACAAAACAAGTGTCAGTGATGACAACCCAAATGAAGTGAGTTATGGCTGTAAGCCTTCTGGGTTTTATAAACTAGGTTCTAATTAGCATTTAATGCTTATTAACAATAATATATGGAATATTAAATTCTCAAATCTTTAGATTATCTCTTCTGTCTTTTGAAAATATATTATAATCATAAACTTTTGAGTCATAATGTTTTTCTAACGAATAAGGTAAAAGTATGCAAATTTCTCCAAAAATTGCAAATTCTTTGTCAGTTAATGGAGATTAAATGATTTAATATGTAGTTTTGGCATTAAATAGATAAACTTTCAAGTCACTAGTTTTGCACAACCACCAATTAAACTGAATTTTCCTTCATAATTTACCTGTAAGGCCAAATAAAAAATATGTATGTTTCCAGGAAAAAAATTAAAATTTTGAAGTTCTGAGGAATCATTATTGTTCATTGGAGATCAATGTTCTTGGATTTCATGGGTCAACCTAATCCACAATTTTACATCCCCAAGAACATTTATTTTGTGTAAAAAATATTTATTCCTTAAATCTACCTTCATATAAATGATAATATTAATCTCTGATATTGTGTCACTATGAAAAAGTAAGATTTTGCTTGCATGCCTATGAACACAGTGACCCCTTCAAATTATAATGATTCCACAGTACGTTTCATAAAACAGAAAAAAAAATGGTTGATCAATCTGGCTATCCACAGAAAAATTATATATCATAGAACACCCCTCCCTGCTTTTCCATAAATCTAAAAAAAAAAGCTTTAGAACAAAGAAAGAAAATAACTTGAAACAACAACAAATACTTTTAATTTATCTATCGTAATTCTATCAGATTGCAATGACGTACCAATGGCTGCACCTCTTGGCTTCAGTTTATCAGAGCCAAAATAAAGTAACATTCACCGAGTTCTCATGCATCCCTCATTAGTAGTTAGCACTGAAATAACTTACGTGGGTTCAACCAATGTAAACATCTTCTTTGGTTTTGAACTTGGAAAAGTTCCTTGGACCTAAATACATTTAGTTGCTAAGGATTGCATTTATGCGAATATAAATATTATAATTACCGTATATATATGGTATCTTTTGCTTTAAAATCATGAAAAAGGTTCCTTTTTTCCTGGTTTTTACATCATTATTTTAAAGAAAACCCTAGTATATTATTTTCATCATTCCTGATATTTGACAATTAGCAATAATTAGTGTTCAGGAGAGACTCAAGGTCGACATATACAAAGTATACAAAAAGGTCAAATAAAAATATACAAATAAACAACAAATTCACCTTGAACATCTCACCCATACTCAATCTTTTTTTTTTTAATTGGTCATGATTACATTACCATTTGTTTTTTTTATTCTTTTTTTTTTTTGGCATAATCAGTTTAAAATAAAAAAAAAAAATCCTAAGGTCTAGGAGAAAAATTCACCATAAACAAACTTATCAGAAGAGCAATGCTCTACAATGTAAACAAGTCATGATTTCCTGGTCTGGCCTTGCTCTGCAACAGGACCTTGTACATGTTAAACTAGGTACAAGCAAACTCCCCAACTTATAATACGATTCAATTGTTTGTTAACATTTATTGTACAAGTATTATAGAATTGATACTCTAATTATGTTCTTTTCACCCTAAACTAATTTTTTCAAGGTCTTAATTCAAGGCTTTTCAATTCAATTCAATTCAAGGCTTTTTGTATCCAACTGCACCTGGGACAATGCACTTTGTTGATAAATGAAAATCAGCTTCTGAAATCTTTTCAATGAAATTGAAAAGGGGGGGGGAGTGAAATGCAAAGACAACTTTTAGGGCATTCTTATTTTATTTTGATATATTTTGAGGAGTATATAATCTGTATTTCTTGAAAAATTATTGCCATCTTTCAAAAAACATGCTACGTTTAAAATCAATGAATTTCAAAGAACTATATCAAATCTAATATATCATGGATATGTGCACCACAATAAATTTACAATACTAATGAAAGGTAATTAAGTAACGTTAACAATGTCCGTACAAGATGGGTATGACTGAACTGTCTAATTTAACAAATATCATAATTATTTTCATAAAGCTTTATCTTTACAGACATACTGCTCCTTTTGCTTTGTACTTCAACGAAATAAATTTGTACTCTATGAAAAAAAATCACGATTACAAATTCAAAACTTTTTGAAGTTCGAATAAACAACTCGAAACAATACATGTAACAATTTTTCAAAAACAAATATTAATGATGAATTATGAACATCAGGAAAAACATTTGCCGAAATTGTCAATCAAAATGTAAATGGAAGTGACCCAGACCATTCTATCGCAAAGACTTGTCTCGAGTGCCTTGTCAGAGATGTAAATACAAAGAGGCGCGGCCATGTTAAACTCTTCACCTGACGGTGGAAAGACAAACATTAATATCGAGTCTCATTCATTAATATCCTAGAAAACATCTCAATTAGAGAAAGTGCATGGAAAATTCTGCTGAAGAAAATAGAACACACACGT